GGCCGGGCGGCGCTCCTCCGCCCTGCGGCCTCCAGCCGGGAGCAGGACGGGCAACGCCGCGGCATGCGGGAGAAGCATTAGGGCTTGGCTGGCGCGGGCCGGGCCAGGCTGTCGCCCGGGCTTCCCCAGGGCGGGTGGCGCAGGCCAGGAGTCCGCCTCAGGAAGGGAGGACCGACCCGAGTGCCCGATGGGCCCCCGCAAGCCTGCCTTTCCCTTGCCCGATAGCTCCTCGTCACTCATTTCACCGTTTGCATTTGATATAAAACCACTTAGATTAAGTATGAAACACGTTCTCGCAGCTCCTGAGGCCAGACACGGGACACGCTGCCGGTCTGGGGAGAGGTACTGAGAATTTCGTCCCTTGCACTGGTGTCCAAATATACTCGGCCTTAACCTTCGTTGAGGTACGCCTCTTTCCTTCAGTTACCATCAGATAAAAGTAGAGAAGCTTTAAAGCCCACATAGCGTAAAAATTCAAGAGATGGACTTCAAGAAAGAAACGCTGTTTGGGAAAAGACCCTCGGATCCCCCATCACACAAGGGAAGGGAGCACATTATGAAGGGACGTTACACTGAATGTGCCATGTCACGCAGGAGCTGTACCTTCATAGATAATAGCATGTTCAGGGCAATATACGTATGTATAGGAGCAAGCGGGTACGCGCTCCCTCTGGACCCTGAATCGCATTCCTCCTGGTCTGGGGTCACAGGAATTTCCTGACTGATCACACATTCAATATTGATTTAAATAGATCCATTATCTCGTCTGGAAGTGAAAACAAACCAGAATCTAATACCGGAATCAGTTTTAAATTGTTGTGATTAATGCAGGAGAACATGCTTTGCGTCGCATCTGACAAGGTCAGAGTTCATTTATATTTTTTTTTATTTATTCATTTCTTTTACACCTTTCAGTAACGTTAGGCTGAAATTTATCCTTGTGAATAGGTAAATTTGGTACAGCTTTGACCTACGCCATATTTTTATTATTTTATCATTTTGAAGGTAGAAATCACTTAAATATCTATTAAAAAGCTCCAAAGAAGCCATGCAAGCATAAAGAGGGAAACGATGCCAAAGGTAGAATTAGCTGCAAGAAGAACCAACAATCCAAACACTACTAACGCGTGCATGCACCCAAGTATTGTAGTATGAGATTTCTGAGCCAAGAGCAAGGAATAAAAAAGAATTTATGTTAAAAAGAGTAACAACTCCCTGTGATGAAATCAGAAAACAGTTTCAGAAGGAAAATTTTGGAGGAAAAACCTTGAGCTGATATTAATAAATCGAATCACGGTAAGAATAAGTTATCTTACCTTCCTGGTGCATTCCAGGTATTCAGTTACTTCACCCAAAGTGTAGCCTGGTCAAATAATAAGCGAAGAAAAAAGAAGTATCCCAGGAAACACTTGATAATCATGACAGAAAAGCACTCTGAAGTGGTGCAACCTTTCTGCGCCAGTGATATCCGTTTACATACCTGGAAAGCTGTTCTACAGTGAGTATTTCCTCACGTAACGTGGCTTCTGGAGAAGCAAGAGTGTGTAGAGCACAAGGTAAGAATAAGAAATCATTTTCTTCTGCATTTAGATAACATTGATATATTGGTATCAGGGAATCAAGAAGAGATCACTGGGATGCCGGTAGACTAATAAATTAGGCTAATTTTAAACTTCACAGCAAAATTTACTAGGCTGACATTCATACCCAATTGTGCTAAGAGTTGGTTCTTACACTTTGCTAACCGTTACCACTATGTATTAATTTTTACATATTATCAACTGTTAGCACGGATTCAAAGCAGTCAGTCCTTAACAGCTATATCCCACCGTAGCTGGGAGTATACAGTACCACAGAGCGGATGCCTCCTCCTTAGCGCTGACAGCTCCGGTCCTCGGTGGTCTCAGGGGCCAGCTGCAGGATGCAGTGAGCCAAAGCTGAGGCAGCTTTCTGCTTTCTGGTCCCTCCCACAAATTTGGGATCTTACCCTTTTATAAGACCCTGCAATCTCTGGGCCGTTCCCAGCCCTCCACCTCCACCCTTGGACAATGTTACTGGGCCAAGCGGGGCGGGGGGGTTGTTTTCCCAGGCCGCTGCAGGTGCCTTATTCAGTTGTTGGGCTGGGTTTTTTTTTTTTGTTTGTTTTGTTTTGCTTCACTGCTGCTTCCTTTCTTAAAGCAAAAGCAGCCTGTTCCCAGCTCTCAAGGTCACGCTTTTTATAAGACCAGTCACTGACCATCAGTGAGTTGTTTTTGGTGCCGTGGCCTCTGCTTTCAACTTGTGCCCGTGTTTTCAAGGCCTTTGTTACACCCCACACATAAGCGGCACCTTGTAACAAGAGGCAGCTGGTATCAAGCTCTGGTTCACACAGCAAGTTCTCATAACAAGTTGATAACAAGCCCAACAGGCCTTGCACAGTTAGCCAAAGGCCACGAGCCTTTTACTAGCACTAGTGCTTTTTACAGGGCTGCTGGGCACAGAAATGCATATACAGTTATACCCCATCAATGTGCTTATGCCTGGGTTCTGAACAAGCTGATGGTAAAGTCGGCTTAGTGGCTTCTCTCATCCTTGGAGCAACAGGACTCTGCTTTAGCTACTGCATGGGGCAAGGTGGGAAGAAATAGCTCCACCTGGTGTAACAAGAAGTAACTGATTTTACTACTTAACTACTGCAGCATTAAACACTTCAGAGTCTGGTGCAGTACAGTAACAATTTAGAATCTTCTGAGAACAAGCAAATGAAATAAATGCCCGAGTACAGTGGAGATGGTAAAGTCTCCATCATGAGAGAAGTATAACAATCATTAACATAAGGCTTATGATCAGCTTCCATAAGAAGCTGTTTATTTATTATCTCCTATTTTTCAAAAGCCTGCTGTAGAGAACCAAAATATGCTGCCAAAAAAGCCACTCTAAGTTGCAGCAGTCATGCATTCTTCATCAACAGTGGTAGATTAAACGTATTTTCAGGTAAATTCTTGGATCTCTCATTACAAGAATTTTTACCCCAGTGAAGGAAACCTTTGAGCCCTTGTCTTTGGGCCTTTGCTTCTACCTTCTTTTCTCTCGTTAAACACACTAATTCCTAATTTCATATGATGCTTTTCATCTATATATGTGTTTTGACCCATTTTGACAAAACAGTTAAAAATAACCAAGGGTTAGAAATAACTATTTATTATGAAAATATTGTACAAATATTTATGTCTGATTCCTGAACCATCAAAATATATCACAAAGAATTTATTCTCTAGAAAACAAGAAGTGCATTGTAGTGTATGTATTTGCTTGAGTTTGTGTATTAATACATACACTAAAAACTTGTATTAATCTTCAAAGATCTTGTTGAATATCATTCAGTGCGTGTGTAAGTCGTCTTATTTTATTTTCCATGGCTTTTTTATTGTTTGCTGTTTCCTGCAGAAGCTGCCTCATTTCTTCTTCAACACAGTAAACCTGAAAGAGCACACAGAGGTCAAATTGAATTCTTGCTTTTCCTTAATGTACCTAACACACCCATATAATCTTGGCAACTTTTAACACTGATAAGCAATGCAAGAGTTACATGCTTATGTTTAAATAAGCAATGCACTACTTTTGACACAGGATGCAGTAGCAGAATTTTGCTTTAAAAAAAAGCATTAGTTTGCTAGGAGATAGCGAGTAACGTATCAAAACCAAAATGCCTACTACGCAGAAAAAGCACCAGTTGTCACACTAAGGAAGAATGCAGTATATGACAGGAACAGTAACTGTTAACACTGGCATAGGTGAGTTAAATGGATTATCTGGCATAACCTTCATTATTCTTGCCTGTATAGATAAGGAAATGTTTAGCTATCGACTCATAGCAGCTACATAGCATGCAACTTTACTTTGCTTGAATACAGAACCTCATGATGGTACAGTTCTAGAGCTTTTCTTGCTTTCAAAGATTGAGTACTAAACCAGGGCTGTTTCCATCCAGAGATCAGCCAGATAGATACAAACAGGTGACTTCCAAGCACCACTGTTGTAGCAGCTGTAGAATAAAAATGCAAATACAGTAAACATATAAATTTAGTATCAAAATTACTTTTTCATTTGCTGCTTCAATTTGTTTTTCCTTTTCATTTGCCAGCTGCAGTAGTTCTTCGTGATGAGCTGCCAACATTGACTCAAGTTGTTTTCTAAAGGCATCATCCATTTCATGAAGCTTTTCCACAGCAATCCTAAAAAAGATTAAAAAAAAAAAAAATCACACTCCTGCAAACAACAGAAGTATTTTGCTTTGCCCAATTCTGCCTTCGATAAGGTTTTAATAACACGGGCACAAAGACAATTATTTCAATATCTAGCATCAGAAGATATCCTGTTTTCTCAAGCGCGCATTCTAGTTTTACACACCATGTTTTAGGGCTTCCAGCATTCCTCTTAGCAGGAGCATTTAATCACTAGCAAATAATACAAAAATTCGGGCTTGCTACTGTCAACATGGATAAGAACTCCACCTGTTTTCAAACCTCTACTTATTATGCTTTTGCTTCCTGAGAAGTCAATGACTGAACTATGCAATCCTGTAAACGGCCTGTAAGCCTGTGTCTCACAGAAATAGGAAAGTGTCTGCTTCACAGTACTGAAGCATTTCCTTGACTCCAAGCAAATTCTGCTTTTAGGGGATAATTCTAAAATATGTAGCAAGAGAGCAAGGCAAATTATTCCACTATACAATTAATTTACACCAAAATTTTGAAACAAAATGGAATTACGTGGGACAAAATTTCAGTTTCGCTACTAATCTTCCAACAATTCCAAAACCTAGTACTATTGACTATTTGAGGTGGTTGTTTTTTGTTTGTGTTTTTTGTTTGTTTTCTAAATCAGAACTTGACCATCAAGGTATTTTCTTTCATTTATTAGTCAGATTACCTTCCTTAAAGTAACAGCAAAAGTGTAATTAATCAAAGTGTTTAAATTAAAAATGTAAAGCAAAAAAACCTTAGTCATACTAGCTTATTCCTTCAGTAACTGTGTGGTTATCACTGCTAGATAAATATGCAGTCTTATTAACTAGCTAATCTTTTCTTAAGAATAGTTGGGAGGAAGGAAGAAGAATAAGAGAAAGGGGCCAAAGAATAAAGTAAAAATCATACTAACAATCTAAGCTCACCTCAGGCAGCAAGTCTACCATAATTCTCCATAATGCCAGAAGCATATGAAATAACTGAGCATTATCTAAGTCCCTGACTATTTTCTGGGTTATGAGTATTTGTTTCTGTATCACCTCCTATTTACTACTACCTGCTCAAAAAAATTGACAGTACAAGAGGAATAATAAATTAAAAACCTATTACTACTTGTATGGGAAGAAAATGACAGGTAACTTATAAACAGTCTGTTTGTCACAGACTGAAATATTTATTAGTATTATTGTGATAAGTATTGAGGATCTGTCCTCGACTTCCTGCACAGCACACAAGGTATTTTCATTGTCCCACATAGACGTTAGTGAAGCACTGTGGCCTCTTTTGTAAGCCCAAATGCCAGCCACAATTGCTTGGCTTGACCTGTGATTTGCAAGCAATTTGTCCCGTGCATCCTGGTCACGAGCTAGAAGGTTGACAGGCTCATGCTTAAAGAAACCCCACTACAGACTGTGAGACTGTGCCTCACATGCACAAGCATCTTCACTGCACGGCTCCAGCCAGCATGTGTGACGGCTGTGTAAGAGTCCCTACCATGTGAGCGTGACATGGAGTTTCCTCACAGAGGTAAACCAAAAGCATTGTGGTGGAATGGGTGTGCTAGGGAGGAATGAGTGTAGGCTCCAATTATTTTCAAAGAAAATGGGAACATAGCTAGGAAGTTTAGAGGACAAATGCTCTAACTGAATGCTAGTGTCATGAAGTAAGTCACCTTGTGTATAGCAAGAATTACTTCTACGCACACCGAGTTTGCAGTAACTGGGCTCACCAAGTACTTAAAAAGGTATTACGCATTCTTTCATCATATAATCAAACGTTTTTGTATACTTAACAGTGCAACTCTATACTAACTGAGCAGTCACAACATAAGTTATTAAGGTGTTCACCTCTGAGTTTGAAGACTTTTATTTCTCTCTTCGATCAGCTTCTTCTCTTTGATATCGAAGCTCTCCTTCATTTGTTTAACCTGCACCTCCAGCTGGCTTAATAGCTCTCCTTTACCTTGCCACTTCTTTTTCAGTGCACTGAAAATAAAATGCACATATTTACCATGAATGTAGATACCACTTCTTAGGAGGGCAGAAAAAAAGTTTTCCATGCCTCCATTTTTCCACATTTCTGAGGGTTTTAATAGCAAGTACTCTCTGAACATAGAATAACTTCAGAGAAGTGTTGCATACTATTATGATCCCAAAGAATTATTGCCACTTGTATGTATCACCTGTGTGCATTCTTAATGTCATCAAGTTCTACTTCTTTTTCTTCTAGCAGTTGCTTTAATTCCTCTTTTCTTTCATTTTGCCTTTCTATTTTTTCCATTAGCTCTTCAAATTCAGCAGCTTTTTCATCCAACTGTACTTGAAAAAATTTCTGAGCTTCCAGATTTTCTTCACGCTGTTTTCTGATTTGTTTATCTTTTTCTTGTAAGCCCTTTAGAAGATAAATATTTTAGAACACAGAAACTCCCTTCATTTTAACTTTATTTTTACCCCTTAAGAGTATATGTTTAGTCTATGCTGGAATAAAGCAGAGACAGACATGTGAAAGTTTACTCTTCTAACTGTATTATTATATGAAAAATACTTAGTAAAGTGATAGCCAGTTAAATAATATTCATTTGAAAGAAGTCAGAATTAAAAAAAAATCAAAACATAAATCTGAAATTGAAAGCAAGTTAAGAAAAAAGTTATTTAGAACTCTAATACAACTTATTCTACATACACAAATCACTGAGCTGACCTTGTTACGTGGCTATATAGTTTAATGAGTAACACATCCAACTGCAACTGATGTAACATGCTATAAAACTATGCTCTGATTAATAAGCTGAAGTCTTAAGTCTCTAAATGAGATGAATGGAATTAATAGAACAAAACATAGTAGCTCTGCTATTAGAATATTGATTTACAAGAACAAAATAAAGAAAAAATATTTACATTGTAAAATAAACCTGAAGCAAACTTAAAAATTTTTTTCCCCCCTTTTCTTTTAAACACACAGAAAGAATTATGCTATCCTAGTTTTCGCTCTTTCAAAACCATTATCAGGAATAACTTGAAGCAAGGCAAAGAGAAGAAAGTCTTTACATAAATATGGTTCACCGAGAGATTCAAAGTAACATCTCTGTACATCAAGTTAATACAAGGCCCTCTCCTGCTCTCAGCAAAATCAATTGCCACTAACAGCCCGACTGCGCTTTCTGAGTTGGTAAACCAGGCGTGCAGAGCCAGCTTTCATTACAGTCTGTACAATTACTTTCACTGCAGGTCTTAATTGTAGCTAAGCACACAAGTTGTCAGACATGGCACTTACTTCTTTTAATCTCCTAATTGTTTCTGTCTGATCGTCCACTATTTTGTTTTTAATTCTTATAGTATCACTGTCCTGTTCCTTTTGCTTTTTTAACATCTCAATCTCATTTGTTAAAACTTCAATTTTTGCCTCCAGTTTCCCCCGATCTTGAGCAAGATGAGCTCCTAGATAAAACAGGATATTCACACTACAGCACTCATTTTACAGATGACTTCCAAGATGTATAATGTCAGGGGAGGAAGCGAAGGTAAGAACCACTTTAAAAACCAAACGTGACCATTTTGCCCACTGGAAACACTGTAGGGCTTTGATCTGTAGGTAGGCAACACTTAAGAGGAAATGTAAAACTGAACATCTGTATTTTATCCTTTGAGAAGTTCTCTGATAAGAATTACTGTTTACTTTTACAGACCCAGCCGATCTCAAAGAACCCACAAGGTGGTGCTGAGTCGCATGAATCAGGGAAAAATGAAAAAAGCCCAAGCTTTTTTTTCACCCAGTATTTAACTTTTTTTTTAAAGATATGTATTGAAATTTTCACGTTAGACTTATCTGCTAGACGAGTAGCATTACATAACATTATTTACAAATCCTTGTTTTCCTAGTTTCATATTTAAAAGTTCTTTGTATAGCATGGTATTTTGACATTTTGGGGAAATAGATAAGCTGTATTCGCAGCCAACTCACACAACTGCTTGTTATAGCTCCTATAATGGCCTGCATACTACAGAAGATCTATTTTTGCACATCATCTTTACAATTGGGTAAGATCAACAAGGCATCCAGAGACCCTGTCATGATTACAACTATATTGGCGCATTTATTTGAAAGGTATGACATTGAACACCACCATTTTTTCTGCAAAAAACAATATATTATTTTACCCTGTTGTGCCAACTCCTGCCCCCATATTTTTCTTTCCATTTTTAACCCATCTATCACAGATTCCTGGGCTGTCAGCTGAGAAATAAGTTTTCCGTTTTCCTTTTTCAGAAGTTCAACTTGAACAGCCTTCTGTTTGTCCTCCTCAATCGCAATTTCAAGTTCTCCAGTTCGACACTGTATGAATGAACATTGGAAAAAGACAGTAAGATCCTTTAAACCAAGTATTCAAAATTTCAAATCAATACTAAGTGGCTAGGAAAGTAATACTTATGTACAACAAATTGTTAACTGAGGAATATTCTGTTTGCATACGGGGTTCTATCTGCATCTCTTCCCAGTAATGAAACACAAATGTTTGCTTCAAATAGACATGCTTCGATCCCAGAAAACTCTAAAGCTGATTATTAAATAGCCTCCTTAAATTATCAGTGCCGTTATAAAAACCTGTTTAGAATTATAAATGCACAAGTCAAAAAAAAGAGAAACAGAAAGTCAAGTTAAGATATTAAAAACCAAATCAAAAGAAAACAGACAGAAGCTGGGATGAACTTCCACTTCCCAAGATAAAGATTTATCTTCAGTTATGCAGGCTACTTTCTGTTTTACAGATTACAGCTGTTTAATATAGCTATTTTTTAATTCTGTTTTTAGCAGCATCACTGACTGGCAGAATCCTATTCTGTATAGCAACACAATGTTTGGACACCCCAACAGCAACATGCAGGGAGGAGATTAGAAACATCTGTGCAGGGGTTGTACTGCACAGAAGTTTTAACATAAAGATGGACTGAATACATACAGGGACTGGATCACACAACAGTTTAAAAGTTAGGTTTGTAAGATGTTTAAGAATTATTTATACAGACAACGTAGTACTATAATATGTTAGCATACAGCAATCAGTAGTGTAAGATAAAGCAACTGTGCTCACAGTATTTAACATTAAAATTAGACAATTAGTAGATAATGACTAATACTGCTAATTTTATGCAACTCTCAGAGATATTAAGCTGCTAATAACTACATCTGATTATTTGTTCAATTTCATTTTTACTTCACATATAGTGACCACTGCAGAACCATGTTCCATTACTTCGAATTTACAAAGGGTCAGGGCTATTAATGCAGGCTTTTTAAATCTCAGTTTAGAGTGTCACAGTTGATTATATACAAACTGCTAGTGCTCATAAGGCAAGGAGTGCACTTCCGAAGACATGACTGAGTCTAGATTTTGCTATATGGGGAGCACTGTTCGTGAGAAATAGAAGTGCAAGATGCAAGAATAAAGGCTGATGTGGAGTACTAGGTTTTAGTGCAACAGGAAACACGGATCTTTCAGTCAATCTACCTTGTATGGAATTGTTACTTTTATACATAAAATAGTACCAAAAAAATCATATATGTAGTTCGAATGTTTTGAAACAAGTACCTTTAGGTTTGCTGTAGCTTCTTCACTTGATTTTGTTAATTCTGCAATCTTTTCTTTCTGTTCTTTCACTATACTTGTCATGTCTTGGATCAGACTTGCCATCTCTTTTTCCTTTTGTTCAAACTCAAAGAGGGCTCGTTTATGTTCAACTAGATCAGCAGCAACATTTTCAAAATGCTCTTTTACCTAAAGTTTTATAAGATAAGACTTGAAAAATGCTAACGTGGAAAAAGTGTGTATGCATACACACAACTGACATTTGAATTTCAAATAAAGGAAGAAATATAAGTTCATCAACAGTATACAAAATTAGTGAATATCTGAAGCTGGTTTTCTACCAGTTTGTTGGTGATACTTCAACTCAAAAAACTGGTTCTGCTCAGCTACAGATTTGTAAAAAAAACAAAAAACCAAACCAAAACAAAAAAACTGGAAAAAAAATATTCATGGGTGGATGGGAAGCACAGCAGAAAAAACATAGCTTGGGAAATGAAAACAATGCCTTGACTTAATCTCATTGTTAAGATTAACATTAAAATCTGGAAAGAAGAACTTAAAATTAATTCTATTTTTTTTCCTTGCAAGAGAAAGATTTAAATGGTGAAAAACCAGTCTTTTCCTTCCCGTCTTCTCCTATGTATCCAACTGATATAAAAATGAAGAAAACCAAGTTTAAGTGGAGGTGAAGCATTTAAAATTTTATTTCACTTAACTTATTTCTATGGTTAGTGTTCACATTATTTTGTATGTTATCTAAGGAATTTAGTAAGCAAGTTTTGATTTTGGATTTCAAAATACATATCCAAAATTCAATTTCGAAAAGTTAAACAATAGGGAACTTTTTTATTAAATACACTAGTATATATGTAACCATAACCTTATCAAAACACCACAAGAGTTTTTACAATAATTGAATATATTCTAATAGAAGGTCAACATCTTTTAAAAGAAATTAATACCACCAGATAGAAATGTTTATTTCTTTTGATTAACTTTTACTTATGAACAAAAATACTGGGTTTTTCGAGTGCTGACTTGGCATTTGGTGTCTATTTTCTAATCATTGATATTTCAAAGCTTACTACCAGTATTTTTAGATGAATCCTTGAGGCAAAGACCTTAAGGATCAAAAAAACCCCAACAACAAAAAACCCAACAAAACCCCAAAATACCCTCACCCCCCAAAACCAACACATTTAAAGAGAACTACAACTCCACCTAGTTTGAAATGTTCTCTTAGTCTTACCTCTTTAAACCTTTTTGCTTCAATAGTTAAAGCTAAACGAAATTCATCTTCTAACTCTTTGTACTTCTGGTTTAACATACTAATTTTCTCCTGAAATTCTTTAACACGCTGTTCATGCCTCTGCTCCTCTTTAGCCACTTCTTTTGACAAAGCATCTTGAAATTCAGGTCCATTTAAAGCAACTCGGGTTTCAAGTTCTTTCCTGAAGTTACCAAACATACTTGAGACAAGAACTGCAGCATCTCACGATGCTGTTTCAATTAATTTCCTTAGTATTTCTTAAAAAGGATAATAAGTTACATAATAAATGGAACAGATGCCTTAGTTTCACAGACAGATTTCAGTCTTCTATGACAATGGCCCTGGGATGAGGAAAAGTGTGTTGACTACTGTTAAAACACCCAAAGGAATAACCTTACTTTTTGATCCAAACTTTCGTAGAAATTATTCAATTGTTCTTTTGCTGTTAGTTAGCATTTGTTTGCTTTGCTGTTAACAAAGATCTGGAAAACACATCGGAATCGGGGAAAAGCACTGTACAGCCAGATACCCTCTTTTGCAGTCGTTCTCTTCACCCTCACCCAACAACTGCTGCTTCTCACTCAGACCCAAAAGCCTGAAAAGCAGCAGCAACAGAGACCTAAAGGGTTCCAGGATAAGCCTCCCTCCTGTCTGGAAGCATCCCTATAGGAAAATGTTGAAGCAAAAGTAGCCTGTACTTTAAGACTATTCTGTTCATCTGCTTTAAAGCACAAACACAAAACATATCTGCTGTCCTTCACATTACATCTTTTGGAGATTTAATAATTGGAAGTTCTCAAAACACAGCTATCAGATTCTTCACATGTAAACCTGCAGTTATCTTGGTATCTGAATACATTTATCCTTGTAAAATTTAGCAAGTGTAACCAGCTTATTTTATTAATAACCTCCCTCACATACTAGTATACCACACACCACTTGTTGCTTTAGTTTGTACACATATTTGATTGTATTAGCTAAACAGTATAGAACTTATGTTCAAGTATTCTCCAAAAAAAGGAAATTTTGAGAGAAAAGAG